AAGGACTAAATGTCACTTCAGGTTAGGACTTACAACCCTGTATCCAGAGGGGTTGAGACGCTGGGTGAAACGTAAAGTACAGAGCACAAGATGAAGACAATATTTTAATGTTTTAATTGTAGCAATAGATCAAGTGACTGAACCAGGACGTATTAAGAGTTGCTTTGGGAGAAATGCTCATTTTAATTCCAGAAACACAAACATGTTTATAGGCATAATCGCAGGAAAACCATTGTCAGTAAACCTGGCTTGTACTAATTTTATGCACAGGAGCTGATATTAATTCATCCAGAGAAAGTGTTAGGAAAGACGCTGAGGCAAAGTGGAAAACCAAGTCTTAATTATTCTTTGTGTTTAATGCTAACATCTAAAAAGCTAGCAGAAAGGCAATGTAGTGGGGGAAGATGGTAGAGGCTGAATTTGATCATATTATAACTACACTTTTTATGTAATTTGTTTAGATTTTATGTGAGAGACCAATGCGAAGCAATCTATAATATGTGAAAGAAAACAAAAAACATCACAGAGACCAAGGAGCATGGCAGGCAGGTCAGGGACAAAGGTGAGGAGGCTCTTTAATCAGGTTTAGCTTACCAAATAAGCTTGCGCTTTTCTCTTACGATGCGCTATTTAGCTCAGCGACTGAAAAATGTAAAGAGAATGACATGACTGCAAAGCCATCAAAACATGGAGGTCACTCACAGGTCAGACAAGGAGAAAATTAATCAGAAGCAGCCATGATAACTTTGGGCCTCAGCTCTCGCGGGAAAATCTGTTAACGGAAAAGTTGTCCTTGTTTCCCTCATCCTTAAGATGGAAGCTGCTGAGTGTTGATAACAGTGATAAATACAAAAGACTTTCAGTAAATGTCATATTAGACTGCAAAACTCTGTAATGCTGGGGCAGATGTTCACCTTCTGTCTCCAAACATATAGCCAGAGCCATAACAAAACAGTTGAGATCAAAAAAATCGCCACACGTTCAAACCAGTGGAGAATCTGTAGCAAACTACGATTCACAGATACTCTATCCATTCAAACTGGGCTTGAGCTATTCTGTGTTGGTCTATTTCAAAAATCCCAATCAAACGTTGAAGATTCTGATTGCAGCTTGGCAAAAATGTGAGTAGGTCCAGCAGATATAAATGATTTTGCAAGGCACCACACATTCAAACGCCATTGCAGAGGAACACATTGAACACATTTTGAAATAATGCTGCAATAATCCTAACTCGAAGCCCAAAACACAAAAGAAAAGATGAGTTTTCAGCTAGTGAGGGTCATTTATAGGCATCAGCATGTCTGAGGCTTACAGGCCATCATACTGGAGTTTACATCTGCTGACACGTCTTTGCTTCTCTTTAGGATGCATGAGCTGGATAACAGTAAGGCATGGGAGTAACGTGACGCTTTGAAGCATTAGCTGAAAGAAAGTTTAGATTTATATAGCTGAGCATCCTGAATACTTTTGAGAGTCCTGAAACTGATTTTGTTACAATTTTGTTTAAGATTTAAGATTCCGCGTACACAAGTGTATATATAATAAGGTAATCGCACAAAACAGCATTCTGTGTGAGTTGATGGTCAGAGACATGGTTGCTGTAAGTACTGTGATGATATCATGCACCTGCGGTCAGAAAGGCACCTGCTGTATGTCGCTTGCTCAACTTTTCAGAGTTCATCAACATCTGGAGAAGAGCACAATAAGAGACTGGGAGGACTGTTTAAAATCTTAAACCTTTCACTAAACAAACACACAGCAACTAAAACATCACGTCAGAACTTATGAGAACATGATTTTGCTTCCAGTTCAGGTGCATCGCATTGAGCAAAATTATTGCAAATCTCATCTGTCTTTCTGCTTTCTTGCTGCACCTAGACAGGCGAAGCAAAAAACCAAAGTCCCAGAAGAAGTGTAAAGGAAAGAGAATGACAGCTGGGGTGACAACAAACAGTACATTTTAGAAATAAAGAAGAAATTTGTTTTAGTTGGGTCAACAGATTCATATTCAGTAAATTTGTCAGAGCAGACGCACACATTCAAATCAATACACTGGCATTCATGCAGATAAACAGTTGTGAGGATGAAAATGTATCTGAAAGAAGAAGAAGAAGTAGATGTGGTCATTTTATGCTGCCATGATGATCCCTGTTATTGTTCTCTCAAATACGTTAAATCACCTGACTCATCAAGTCGGGGTGAGAAATTCTCACTCGTGTTCTTTAGCACATTAGTACAAGAGCTCTAAGATGCTCATCGAATCTCCTTTGTAACGCAAAAATTATCTTACCAGATTGTTTTCACCCAGAATCCATTAACTCTTACTTGACCTTAAGAGCGTCTGAGAGCCATCCTCTAACCTCTAGAAATGAGACACAGTCTTAGTACACAGAACATCACTGCTCTTTTCTTCAGGTTCCCAGTTTCTGCAGCGCCATCTGCTGGAGGTCTAAGGGACAGACTGCTGAGTAAGACATTGAGTGGCAATCTGCAACTCGGGTAGCTTCTCCTAAATGTCCTTAAGACTTTACTGGGTTTTAGGCTTGGCACCACCAGGAGTTGTATCAAGAGGAGGGCCGCCGCCTTGGGCAAGTCTTCGCAGACTGAGAGAGAGAGGAGAGATTAGTGCTCCTGCAATCACAGCCTGCTTAAAAAACACAATAATGCAACTTTAGCTCTACAGACTGATGTCAAAATGGTTCCCCCACAGAGCTTTGTTCCGGTCATTTAGCTTTTCAAGAGCATCAAAGTAAATGCAATATCTGATAAAGATAACCTATGCAAAGACAAACCACAGCTTTAAAGAGAGACTATTAGATGAAAAAAGTTATTCTTTTTTTGTTAAATTATTAATTTGCTGTTATTGACCTAATTCTATTTGGGGAAAAAAAATAACTCAGTGACTTTACTAGCGTGTCTGGACATACCAGAATCAAGAAACTACTTAACTAGAACCTGTCTGACAACATGAAGTAGGCTGAAGGATGTGAAAAAAAAAAAAAACAAAAACCCATGCCTTTGATCTGGAGACATTCAAGACGATTAGAAATAACGTAATTGGTTTCTATCAAGCTGGAAATTGTTACAAAGCCATTTGTAGCCGTTTGGGACTCCAGTGAACATGGTGAGAGTAATTACAGAGAAAACGTGGCTTTTAGTTAGAGACTGTCTAAAAATGACATCCAATGATTTCCACAAAAGAAATGCACAGCTGCTCAAAATGCACGCAGATGTCTTCACATTTCCCTCAAAAACCCTTGCTATTCACCCAGACGTCTGGAAAGGTATTCTATGGACTGATGAGACACATTGTGTAAGTATGGACAAGATCACCAAGTCTATTTAATGGTTTATCTATACGAACATTCAATAAAATAAAGCAAATGTCTAAAGTTCAAGTATTTTTGTGGGAAATCCTTACCTCTCTTCCCAATTTGAAAAACAAGTGAGTCTTTAAGCTTTACTGTGAACTGCATTCATACAGAAACAGTTGTGTGGCTGTGCTAGAAGCAATTGAGGGTCAAAGATGGCGCCATACTCACAAGTCCTTCACGCTGTCAATTTGGGCCTGAATTTTTCCAATAAAGCCATCCACTTGCTCCTATAATATCGCAGTTTGCACAAGAAAATTATAAATCCGTTGTGTTGAAACTGATATTGATGTTGTTGCACGAAAAATGTATTACCTGCCGTCTTTCGTAGAAAAGGGGTAAAGAAAAGAGAGCAATCACACCTGAGAGGAAAGGAAGAAACAGTTGATTCGTGAGCCGCAGGGTTTTTTGATACATCTTACGTCTCTAGTGAGGATTTCAGTTTCTTACTGATGATGAGGATGGTGAGGCCATTGCAAAGGCCTCCCAGATATGTGACAAGGTACATCAGAAACAGGAACTAGAGATTTAAGAAAGACAAAACCGATAAAAAAAATAAATAACTGAAGATATTTTATGTAACTTCCATCAAGGATATGCAAATAGGTTTAGCTAACATGCTTTTAAACTGACTTCTAGTTTCAGAACGTCATCCAACTTTCTCCAGTCTGGCCTGTTTCTTCCATAATGCTTTGTTCACAGTATCTAGTGGCTGTCAGTTTCTCAGTCTTGGTTACAGGATCCAGTTCATCGGATACGGGACAACCCCGTCTCACATGGAAAAAGACTCCATCTTATCCTGGGAGTCTGGTGTGTGTAATTTAGCATACCAGCAGGGTCACAGTTGGCCAGCAGGTTCTGGGATTAATGGGCTCAACCAACTCTCATGGACTGTCATTTGCTATAAATATTTCTATTCTGTCCTAAATTAATGACTAAAATTAGAAAACGAGGTGTTCACTTTCTACCACAGTAAAGGTGAATCCAAAAGGGATCATTTTGGTCATATTTTAGAGCCAAAACTTAAAATCTGTTGGAAAATGTATGGACAATAAAACATCTCAACATGTAAGTACCGCTAAAAACAGCTTTTTTCAGAAATTAAAAAAAGTAGCTTTCAAGATTGCATTACATAAAACCTAGAAATACTTTATCCTTTGTGAAATAAATCTTATAATAAAGATCTTTTGTTTATTGAAGTGTGGCAAAAAAAAAGGTAAATTTTTCTATATAATTTTTTTAAGCAATATGTGTGAATAAAAACACTATTCTCAAGCAAAAAATCCACATTTCAATGTCGTGCTTTTTGTGAAATGGTGCAGTCTTCGTAAGTGTAAACATGGAACAGGTTACATGGAGAATGTTATCAGATTTTAGTTTTACAGCTCACTGCAATAGAATAAATTATTTCCGTTCTAAAGTTGTCAGCAAAAATAAGGATGGTGACATTGTGCATCGTTTTGTCAAAAATGGTTATCTATGACGACGGCCACAAAAGGGCCTTTAAAAATTCCTGAGTGGGGTGCCGGAAAGTGAGGTTTCCAACTTGTCACTCTTAGACAACACTTCTCCTGTCTTATTAAGTTGCTACATTACAAACTCAGCCTTGAGGCGAGTTTGTAACTACACTACATCATTCCTCCCAGTGTTGTGTTGTTAATGGCAGTTAGCTCGTCCTTAAGTGAGGTTGTCAATCAGGCTTGGCTACAAGTTCAGCTACAAGGTCCTATCATCCTGACAGGTATGTGATAGGTGGTGAGATTCGAGGTAGTAACTAGGAAGGAAGTTACGCCAACATGCTTCCTTGCTGAAACAAATGGAATCAGTAAACAAGAGACCTGTACAGAACAATACCATCAAATACTAAATACTAAAAATATTAATGGCTAACAAAATTAACTCTAGGCATTCAAATATTCTAAAAAGAATAATCAAAGCTTATCATATTGAAGTAGCTGTAAATAAGAGGCAGTCAGATTATGAGACCATACTTTACCAGTGAATATATGACACACGCTTAGCATTGGTTGCAGACAATACCGTTTAATTTGATTGTGCCGGATCATTCACTAAAATGATTATATCATAAAAGGCGACAGCTGCTGTCTTTGTTTGAATATGCATAACAATGCTGTGACCAGGGAACCATTGTAGCTGGAATGATGAGTATGACTGATAATAAGAGCAAAATGACAGAACACGAAGCCGTTGTTAGGTTAATGAGTCCTAGAGGTTCAAGCAAAGCAAAACAACACGGGTTCATTAAAGTAGTTCCTCGTACTAAAAGGCTAAACAGCCACGCACAAAACAACGGCCGACATAAACAAAACTACATAGACAAATAGAGTGAATGTAATTAAATCGGCATGCTTAGCTTACCTTGAGGGATTCAAAAAGATTTTCTACAAAAAACAGCCTCCTCAGGGCATCAACAGCAGACAGAGCCAGAACAATGGCTTTTTGCATGTAGATGTCAGCCTGCTCTCCCCTTAAACTGATGTCAAGATCCAAGTATGATCTGATAGAAACACACACTCATTAAGCCAATAAATTAACTCAAATTTAATTAAAATACTGATATGTTGAGCTAATTGTTAAGGAGGCAGTTTAGGCCTCAAGAGTCTTCAGTCAACTCAATATTACTGTAAAAATAATTCATTAACAAAGCTCAGTTGTAATATAGACAGTAAATATTTATTATGCAGAATCCTGCCTGTCTTAGGTGCAATAAAAAAAAGATAAATATGTTTCTGCACATTGTTTTACATACAGTGGCACGTTTAAAACATGATTCCAGGATATCAGTATTTCCTTTGTGTCTCAATATTTGATCCAGTGGAGAACTCAGGGAAATAATCTGAGTATTAAAACTGCATGAACGTTTCAAGGAAATCATCTTACTTGAAAGGATGTTCTCCGTCCCCCAGCTGAGGACGTGGAGAAACAGGTAGTAGATGCGTACAGAGATGGTGAAGCACATGACTGCCAGGGAGACGGTGGAGACCACAGAGATGATGCTGAGCTGGAACAGGGAAAGTAAGCCCACCACCAAGGCTGTGAGCACCATGCCACTTCTCTCTGTGTCCTTCCAGTAGATGAGGTCCATTACTGGTAGACAGGTAATTAAAACGATTGTCAAAGAAATGACAGTTGACAGACAAAAGTGGTTCTGTACTCTAAATGCCATCAAACATTTTAGTGTAATTACATTTTGAAATTATGTATGAGGTCAGAATACAGATAAATTGTCAAACCTAAGAACCTCTAATACCCAGCGTTGTCCATAAATTATGACAAAATATTTTGTGATCTTTCATTTCTGTGTCTTAAAATTGGTGTACTCAGACAGAGGAGCAGGAAAATAAATATTATGAGAAGAAAGAATAAGGAGGGAAAAACATGAAGAAAAAAAAAGGTATTTTCGTCATCAAGCCTTAGATAGCACCCAGCAGCTACAGGCTCAAGCCTTGGCTGAATTTAGCCTTCAGAGAAAAAAAAGCCAGCAGTTGAAGGGAATTTAAATTCCCACCACCTGTTGTCACATGTCAGGCTGTCTGCACCCGATGATCTGATCCCTGATGGTTTCATTGTCTGCCAGGAACCGATGGATCACACATCTCCAATTATATACAGTTTCAACTTTAACTGTTTGGTCTCTGTTTATTTCACATTAAAGCAAATTTGCAATGTTTTAGTCTTGGGAGGTTAAATATAACAAACTGGGTCCTGTTTGAGATTTGAACCCCCGGGACCGCTCACACTGCTCGAGACAATTATATCCAAGTTCTGTGCAAAAGCCTTGAGCTAAGGCTTCTTTTCTTTATAATTTGCTTCCAGTAAGGCAAATTTTAATTTAACAATTAAGAGTGACCTTGATCAATGATTCCTCAGGCTTTCTGAAAGGCTGCTGCAGTTTTTCATTGAACTTTAGCTGCTTTTCCTGTCCCTGTGGGGGATTTTTTTTTTCAACCTAGGTTGATTTTTTTTAACCTAGGTTGAAAATTATTTATTTCAACCTCCGAAATAAATAATTCAAGTTTCTTGCAGTTTAGGATTTACATTCATGGATATTAAGGAGCTTAGAAAACATACTATTCAAATTTACATACTCAGGGTTTTCCATATACATATACACACACAACCAACTATAAGAGGGATTTTATGCGGTAGTGTGTTGTGTAAACATAGACTAATTACTCATGGAAGCCTCTTTGAAGAGAGAGCTTTGTCAGTGGGTGGGTTATTTATAACACCCCAATTTATTCCCACAACATCCCTGCAATAGTCCCACTAGCTGTCATTCTGGGCGGTGCTCCACACACGACAAGCAGATCTAATTTACATCTAAACTCATACACTAATGAGGAAGCAGCACAATTAAAAATAAGCATATCTGTGGTAAACAAGTTTTCCACAAAACGAAAAAGTAGCACTGTAGAGCAATAATTTAAAAAGAAGGAGGCAGGATGGGAAAGTCCCAATGACCAAAAATAACTCAAAGGTTTGTATCTCATTCTCTAAAAAAAACATCATGAGTAATCGATGGAACTAGAGAATCCTGTAGAAGAATGTCTTGCAATCAATTTGTGACCTAAGAGCTCAGGTTCGCTTGGATTATGCAGATTGACAATAATCTGCGACATCACCTCTGAACGACTCCCAAAAGGAGGGAAATTTTGGTTGGGCCAAACGTGCAACAGAAATCAGAAGAGATCTGTGATAGGGGAAGATGCTTTTTGATGGCAGGTCCTTTAAAACATGTGTGAGTAGACTAACAGGGACATGCAGGTAAAAAATAAATATATATAGCAAATGAAAACATGACAAATGTGAACTAGAATATCACATCAATTAAACCAATTAAAAATAACATTTTGCACAGAAATGTGAGCTTAATGAAAACTATTGTTAAAACCTAATTAAAGGTCATTAATTTAAAAGGAATGTTTAATCTGATCAAACAAGCCTCAGTGGAACGCATATTTAAATTTATTTAATATGACTGTAATTATACTATTGTGTCTGCTTGCCTGAAGGAAGCAAATAAAAGGAAAATAGTTGCAACCAGAAACCAATAAAGAAATAGTCAGTATAACAATGTGAACAAAGAGGCTAAAGGAGTATATTTTTACTTCAAAGCAATGTTTATTCAAAGCAACTACATATTAATTTATTCTCACTCAGGTCAAGTCCGCCTGTTCACTAGTCCACTGAAATGTCTGTGCATGGCCCAGCTGTTCAGCCTAAAGCGCTAAAATCAAGCCAGCCAGGAGACAGCTGTCTAATACCACAACAGCACCGTTTTAACTCATTTCAATGGCAAACACTGATTTGAATTGAAGCCACTGGTAGCGGCTAGTGATCCTGAGCAGCTCATCAGCTTAAAGTCAGACGCACCTGTAGCTTGTCTTATTCTGTTTCAAAGGAACTGGCCCGTAAACTGATCTAAGGGAGATCTCTGCTTCTTTCAACTACCTTTCTTTTGTTTTATATTAACTTAAATCAAATTGATTTTTGGCTTAACACTTCAAACCCTGCACTTTAACTATACAGGTCTAAAAAATTAGAATTTCTTTAAAATCTCACCTTTACTGGCCATGTTTGGTCGCTGTTCCAGTCTCTCTCCTAACTCCCCTGTTCTCCCACTGAATGAGCTCCCTTCTCCTCCCTGAGCTGTTTTTGGCCGTCCAATGCTCACTCAGCGCTGCAAAGGCCTAACAGCCCAAAATAATCTGCTGCTCCACAGAATTGCCCTCCACTATTCAAGCCTCCCTGCCAGAGAATAGAGTTAATTTTTTTTTCACTGTTTTGAAATTGATCAGCTTTTAAAGCAAAGTCCAATGAGAAGAAATAATAATTGCCGTTTAGTTGTCATTTACCAGAGCAGAGTTAATTCTGTTATTTTTTTAAAGCCAAAGTTTGTTTCTCTCTATATTTGCATTTTCTTTTTAAAGAAATCTTCCAAAATATGTTCTTGAAAGTCTCATAATCAGACAGTTTTGAATCTGGATTGAAATCAAGTAGTGATTTTTTTGACTTACATTTCTAACAAGTTGTTTTTCTTTATTTTATTACTTTTATTCTCAATTTCAGAAATCATCGTTTTTATGTACATTGCTTTGGGACTTTTTTTTCCTGTAAAAATGTTAAATTAGTACATTTTACTTAAACTTGGTTTAATTGCTCAGAATAGGGACCCCGAAGAAGTAATTAGGAATGCATGTTACATGTATATTGATAATTAAAAGCACGAGCTTTTTATATATAACATCCTAATTTCTTGGTATAGCATCAAAATTACAGAGACCCATTCAAATAAGGCAGGTGTGTATAAGGAATTAGCTCTAAAACACTTACATTTCACATATATGCTATTTAATACTCAACTTAATTAAATTTATATACATGGTAAATTTAGCAAATCAGTATTAAAAACACTTTATGACCAAAATAAAAAGTCAAAGTAGCGAAACTTTTTTTTTAATTATTCAAGATTTTTTGATTTTTCCACTCAGCAATTGTTGCAAACATACATTCAGATGTGATATTTGGTACCTGAAGCAAACAGAATAAAAAGAAGGACAATTCTCATGTGGACACTCTGCATGTGTCCTATTTATTTGAGACTACACTACACTAGGTGTTATCTGTCGACCACAAAATTACCAGCGGGCTTTAAATCCCTCCCTCACCTAAATGAGTCCTTGTCTTGACCACTGCAATGGTCCACTTGAGAACCCATTAAGCACAATGACTGAATCTTATCTCTAAGGATCCCCTTCTCTGCCCCACTCACTCAAGAACTTCCAACTTGCACCAACCAATCTGCATACAAAGAAACTGCACACACACTCGCCCTAGATTCTGAGACAGACGACACACACCGATAGCGGTTTCATTGGTGTGCCTGCCTGAAAAAGCCCGCTAAAGCCTGGAATGTTTCCCCTGCAATCAGCCCGTCATTCCTGAGACCTCGAGAGAGTTGGTTACTCTGGAGACAGTGGACAGCCAGCATCTCTTGCCCGTCTGCCCCTGCCGAGAGGGAAATCTGAGTGTGTCTTTGATTGGGAGCTGCGAGGAAGAATCTGAGCAAAATAACGTAAAATACAGAAGATCTGGAAGACATGGAAAAATAAAAAAATGTTAGTAAAACGTGGTGATGTAATCCTGTACCTGCTATGTGGATGCATACGGTCAGATCCTCAGCGAGGGGTGCTGAAAACCAGTGATCTCTGAGCAGCTGTTCCTGAGAGTTGAGGCCTGCGGAGGCCACAGACGAGCGCTGGGTCTGTGGGTCGCACAGAGGTGAGCAGCTTGACTGAAATGGTTTCCAGGGTGGCGGGTGACTCAGGCTCGGAGGCTGGTGAATCCTCTGCTGCTGGGAAACAGAAGCTGATGTCACCATGGTGATAAAGTAAATAAATTACAGGCATCGTTACAAAAAGGCAGCTCTTTCTTTGTGTCTCCTAAACTAAGAAGAATCAGCTGATCTGTTGTGTGACATCGGCTCCAGTAACGAGAAAATCTAACAAATCTGATGATGTAATGCCTTACACCAATCACCAGAACGGGGAAGAAAGAACATTTGAGTGACTATGAAGGGGGAATGAAACTTTGGCTACAATACACACAAGCTTATCAAAACTGAACAACAACTGTTTGAACAATTGGAGCTTTGATTTGATGTATAACAATCAGACGGTGTGGTCTCGCATCTAAAGCATTGACCCTTGCCTTCTATCAATGGTGCAGCATAGAGGTGGAAGTGTAATGGTCTATGCATACTTTTGGCTTCTTTGTAGCAATTCAACTTCATCGTAATGCAGCAGCCTGCTTGAATGTTGTATCTGAACATACTTAATCAATTACGACCACAGTCTACCCGTCTTCTCATGACTGCTCCCAATAGGATGGTGCGTCATGGCATAAAGCGCGGGTCTTTAACGGTTTTTAAACATGATGTTTTGAAGGTCACTGAAAACCAATGGCCTCTTCAGTCAACTAATTTCAATGGAAAAGAGCATCTCTGGGAAGGGATGGAGTAAGATATTTTCAGCATAGAAGTTGATGTCAATGTGGACCAAAAGGCGGTATCTAACACTTTTTGAATCTATACCATAAAACATTAAGACGGTTCTTAGCGTAAACAGGGGGTCCAACCTCGTATGAGTAAGGTGTGCCTAATAAAGTGGCCAGTGAGTGTGTTGGTATGTAAAAAATAACAAGCATTCAATTCATGTGACACCTGGCTTGATATTATACTCTGCTTGTCTGTGCCACATGAAATGAAGAACCCCTTGAAGAAAAAGGTCATCGAGTGTCAAACTTTATAATTAGCTCCGGGTTCATGAACGTTTGATACTAATGGCTGCAGACAGGAGGGATGAGCTGAACGCTGACAGCACACACAGCATTTGTATATGTTGAGTTTCTCAAAACAACAACAAAAACAAAACATAAAATATTTCTTTAAATAATTTTTAAAAGGTTGAAAGATGAATTGGGGAAATAATTTATGCATCTGATGATCAAAGACACATCCAAGTTTTTACGGCTTGTACTTCTTACCCTGAGCTCTCTGTGAGAAACTGTGTTGCTGGATCTCAGAAGTTCGTTGACCAATCTGACTTGCGCTCTCTTCTCGTCCATCTGTCCTTTCACTTTCTGAGTCCAGCGTTTCAGGAGCGGGCTGCACTGTAAGAGTTTCCCTTTGTTCTCCTTCCCTTCTTCCCACAGGGATTGCTGTCCTTGGTTCCTCTGTCTCTGATGTTGTCTCTTCTTCATCTTGATTGAGAAACCCCTGTGGCTCCCAGTCCACATCAGGGAGTCTAACAGCATTTCCAGCGTGTCAGTTCGAATCAAAGGCGTGCGTCCCGGCCGGGGGACGCCCCTGCGTCGCTCGCGATGGTGGCGTGAGCTCCCAACCGCTTCGGCCTCTGCGATGGCGATGTAAGAGAAGGTCAGCTCGAAGGAGTGCTGGCGAGGAGTCCCCCAGATGGACGGGGAGGAAGCTTGTCCTTCGTCGTCGTCCGGATCCCCTGTCTCCACTTCCTCATCGTCATCATCGGACCACTCTCTGGCTGTTTGCAGGTCGCACATCTCTGACTCCCTCGTTGCCGCCTGGATACAAATCAAGACAGGCGGTCACTGATTTACAAAGACAAAGATGAAAATGTCTTCAAGTAGTCCTAACACTAAGCAGTTTATTTGATCAGCAAGAGCTGTTTCTGTTTTTTTTCTGACAGATGAAAGGTAGAAATAGAAGAGGTTTTCAGATTAAACTTGTTTTGATGTTGCTATCAAAGTAACTGGTAATTGCGCCATTGTTATTGTGACATGTGAATAAAAACTAGATGAGGTACAGAGGAGAAGTGAGAGCTTTTTACCATCGGTGCATGGAGGTGTTGAATCTGGGGTGGATGCCACAGAGCCATATTCCTCTGGAAGAAAGCAGTTGCATGTTACATCAACAAGCAGCTTCAGTTATTACAGCTAGAAACTAGAGATCAGGCCCAAAATCTGGGAGGAGTGGTGGACTCAGACCTGGACATCCAGAGACATATAAAAACTGTTATAAAGTCAGCTTTCTATCACTTAAAGAACATTTCTAGCAAAATCCTGTTCTCACTAAAAACTAGTTAGATGCCAGCATCATCCCAGTTCTAAAGTCTACACTGACTCCCTGTAGCTCAGACAATAGACTTTAAAATACTCTTGCTAGTTTATAAATCACTGAACAGCTTCGCACCAAAATACATTAAAGATCTAATGTTGTATCAACCTTCCAGGCCTCTGAGGTCTTCTGGTTCCGGTCTGCTCTGCATCACCAGAACCAGAACCAAACATGGAGAAGCAGCATTCAGTTTCACCTGGAACAAACTTGCAGCAAGCTAAAAAACATTCAAAACACTGAGTTCCTTTAAATCCTAAAATAGAGTTGCCTTTGATTCATAACGCTACCACCGTAATCACAACATTTTAAATATATTCGCTTGATTATATCAAGCGAATATATATTAGCACTTAAACTCTGATGTAATCAATTGTCGTTCCGTTTTTTTTTTTCTGTTTGAACTGCCTTGTTACTGAAATGTGCTACACAAATAAACTTGTCTTAAGATGTAGAAAAAAAAGATCTCAAGATAAACTGTTCCATTATATTGCTCAGCACAGATGTACTGCAGATGAGCAGGAACACACAAAGCCCATAAACACTGCAGTACCACACAAGAACTAACTGTAAGAGCTTTATAATTCTTTCCTTGCCTGCATTTCACGTGAAAAGATGCTGCTAAGGCTAACAAATATTAATGCTGATAGAAAATATCAGACTAAGGGAACACAGAGTGTTCATCTGTCCTTAGTGCATACTGTAGGTCATTGAATATTGAGTGGTTCTGGCAGAAGTAAAAGGCTTTCACTGCATTAGATTGCCAGCATGACACCAGTGTATAAATCAAGCAGGCAGCCATTGCACTGAATGCAGCATATTCTGTGCAGCAGCAGTGTGAGGATAGGAAAATACTCGGCTACTGTAACTTAGCTTTGGATCAGATTGGGGGAGACAAAAATTCAAATCACAAGAGAAGCATTCAGGAAGGAATAATTTACGATCGA